TTGACCTAAGAAGAAGCACCCCAAAAGATTAACACCCTGCAATCGACTTTTACGGGTTTTTTGATTTTTCCCTCCGTTTTTTTAAATTGTACAGCGAGAAGCACACGCCAAAAGATTACATTTTTTATTCTTTTCGCTAGATCTCACCCAAAAGTTCATTTTGACATTTTCATCAGTGACACTGATAATTCAACCTTTGCTGTTGCTGTTTTTGCAGTAGAGCCAACAACGTTTGAAAGTTGACTTGATTTTAAGGCATTTGTTTTTTTTTTGTTCACTATACTTTAACATTATAACAAAATGAAATTTTTGCGGATATAATTTGGTTTTTATTCTGCTTTGATAGCATCCTTTACATGAAAAAAGATGTTGCAATAGTAGCATAGGCAGCCAAAGAAGATATTTGTAAATGTAGATGATTGAATTTAAGATGCCAATTAATATTTGTTTAAAAGAAAAAAAATTTCATCAAAAATGGCAAAATATGTGTCAGAAACCTAAAAATTACATCGATGAAGACTATTTTTCATTAAGAAAGGTAAGATTAGGCCAATCAATCCGACCTACCAAATTTCATAAGGATCGGCCGACTGTATCCTATAGCCGCAATATAACTGAACGATTGGAAATGCCTTAACTTTGGTGTTTGTTAAGTTAGGAAGATGGGATTTTCTATGGGTTTTATTTTTGGCCAATCAATCCGACGTACCAAACTTCATAATAATCTGCCGACTATATCCTACAGCTGCTATATAACTGAACGATTGGAAATGCCATAACTTCAGTGTTTTTAAAGTTGGGTATTATAATTTTGGTCAAAAGTGTGCAACACAGTGAAGGAGACATCTCCGACCCTATAAAGTATATATATTCTTGATCAGGATCACCTCCTGAGTTGATATAAGCATGTCCGCCTGTCCGTCTGTCTGTTTCTACGCAAACTAGTCTCTCAGTTTTAAAGATATCGAATTGAAACTTTGCACACACGCAGTATATAAGTAGGAACGGCCGGGATCGGCTGACTATATCCTATAGCTGGCATATAACTGAACGATCGGAAATACCATAACTTTGGTGTTTGTAAAGTTAGGAAGTTAAGATTTTCTATGGGTTTAGTTTTTGCCAATCAATCTGACCTACCGAATTTCATGAGAATCGGCCGACTATATCTTATAGCTGCCATATAACTGATTGATCGGAAATGCCATAACTTGGGTGTTTGTAAAGTTAGGAAGCTGGCATTTTCTATGGGTTTTATATTTGGCCAATCAATCCGACCTACCAAATGTCCTAAGGATCGGCCGACTATATCTTATAGCCGCCATATATCTGATTGATCGGAAATGCCATAACTTTGGTGTTTTTAAAGTTAGGAAGTTGGGATTTTTATGAGTATTAAGAATGCATCATATGAATAATTTTGGAGAATATAATGTACATAATATTCTGCAAGGGTATATCAACATCGGCTCCGCCCGAAGTTAGCTTTCCTTTCTTGTTTTAATTAAAACCGTAATTTCATAAATAAAACAAATGCAATATTTTTTGATTTTGGTTTTGTATTAAATAGTAGTAGTAAATAAACCGGGTCATTTCACTTGGTCTAACATTTAAAATTGTTTGGAATATGGATGAATATGTTCTAAGATTCTGTAGCTAAATTTGAGTGAAATATCCCCTTTAAAATGTGCAACCTACATAGCGTCAAAAATATGTCTTATTAACGAAATCAAATTTGGAATGAGTGGTTTTTCCACGTAAATTATTTACTTTTTCGAACCGCCGCAAATTCGTAATGCTCCACCTGGCTTTTGTGCTAGTGCTATTGACGATGCTCAGTTGCCATGCCTTACAGATTCCCAAATATTTGCTTCTGTGAGGTGCTGCGTTTCCTTTAGTAGAACTTTGGTATGGAAGTTAGCTTTAAATATATTAATGCCTAAAAGTTTTAATTGTACCGATAGGCGGCTCAAATACTTCCTCATACATCTTACAAAGATTCGTGATTTGAGTACCCTGCTACATTTTATAATTAAATATCTTAAACAATTCTAAGCCAAATAGATGGCTTGAGTTTTTCACAATAGCCCAAACTATACTGAGTTTTTATATATAGGGCTCTCTTCTCGCTTTCCTAAATCACTGCCATTGATTTTGTTGTGGCCTAGTATGTTTCCGCAGTTGAGAGAACTTCATAGAGTCAAATAAAGTGTGCTTAATAAGTAGATCGCGTATGATTCATTAATTTTCGTAGTTAAATGAGCACCATTCCGATTGGTAACAAAATTGACACTCACGGGTAATGCTACGTAGATCAGCGACCCATTCCTTATGTGTTTGAAAGTCCCGCTTCTGACGTTTAAAAAATTGATTGTGATCAGCAACAATAAGTATTTTAAGCCTTGTACTCAGATCGAAAAACGAGTACGCTAGCGTAAAAACTTTAATCTTTACAGTGTGACTGCATTTTCACAAGTTCATCAGAATTAAGCGTGCTACGGTCGTACTGTCAATCAGCTGGGTTTGTTGACAAACAGTTAAGCTTCAAATATCGTATTTGCGGGAAAGAGCCTTTAAAAGATATTATCAACTACCTTGGTAAGACAAGTCTGCCGCTATTTTTTTATTTTATTTACTGATAATTATTTGCTCATTTAAAGTTCATAGCTGCACATAGATCTAATAGGCGATTTTTCTATGTTTTTTATTGTGTTTTTCTTACGTTTTTGACCTAAGAAACCCTTTTCTCTGACAAGAAGCACCCCAAAAGATTAACAATACTCTTAGGAAACTTTTTCAGGTGCTCAATTTGTAACATATCCATATATATGTCAATTTGTGTGCTCCTCTGCTTTGTGTAATCACATTCACATTCAATGTTTGGCAAGGCGTTCTGTAGCGAACATTTTCTTGTTTTTGAAATTCTTGACCAGCTAACTATTTGGAGTTTAAATACCAAAAATCCGGATCGGCCTACTATATCATATAACTTTTTTGTCTCTTTACATATATTCATATACGTTTTATAAAAATCGGACTACCATACGATAAAAAAATTGATCGGAAAGTCTTTATTCTTTTTAGGTATCGAAAGCCAAATACAGAATATTTCATTTTTGTAACAGCGGCTTCCCGAAGTTTGCTTTCTTTATTGTTAATCTTAAAAAATCGCGGTGCATTGTCCTCAATGCATTTGTTTGCCCAATGTGGTATTTGTTTTTGTGGTCTCTAAGGCCAAGTCAACGTTCTAGTCCAATTGGGAATCACAAATATTTATTGTCCAAATATTTATGAGAATATATTGGATTAACTTATGTATAAAGAAAGATAAAATAAAGTCGTGAAGTAAAAAGAAGTAATAAAATAAATATTTATTGATATTTAACACGTAACAATTCTAGAATACTTAGAAAAATCGCGGTCTATGTCAAACACGGTAGTTTTGTTTTTTAAATCGGAGTCCATCTAGGATAGTTTTGCTATCATGTTAACAAGAAACAAGAAAGAAAGCAAATTTCGGCAAACCGAAGTTTATATACTCATGTAGTTATTACAAAACGACTACATTTCGATTTGTTTGCTCATATTACTAAAAACAATGAAGCAATGTCGATTTTGCCTCCGTTTCTATGGCAACTATATGATATTGTTGTCCGATTTTGATAAAACTAAAAGCGTAATTTTGATATAGTAAATAATTACTATATCTCAAATAAATAATTACTATATTTTAATAAATAAAAAAACAGCAAAATACAATTTCATCCTTAATTCCACAGTATTTAAATATAACCAAATCTCAAAGAGCAAAAAAAGTTAAAAACAACAAAATTATACTTCAAAAAATTGTTTTTCCCGGTTGTTCCTATGGGAGCTATATGATATAGTCGACCGATCCGGCAATAGAAAGACAAGAAAGTTTCAAGCAGATTGCTTTAAAACTGAGGGACTACTTTGCGTAGAAACGGATTGACAGACGGACATGGCTAGATCGACTCTTCTGGTGATACTGATCACTTTATGATATACTTTATAGGGTCGGAAATGTCTCCTTCACTGCGTTGCAAACTTTTGACTGAAATTATACCATCTGCAATGGTATAAAAAAGTCACTCAACAACTTTCTTTATGGTAAGCGACTAAAAAGCCAGCTGGTGGTAGAAAATCCTACTTGCAGCTTAGAGCAAAAATATTAATATCGAGTAACAGTATGGCACGCCTCCAAAATATTATAGTAAATTCCTAAGAAATCGCGTTCTACAAGACACAAGCATTTTTGTGATAGGCCAATATTTTTGGAAAGCTCGTACAAATATTAGTCTATTCCTTTCAGATTTTTTAAAACCACAAACGAAAACAATTTAAAATTCGATGTCTAATAATAAATTAAAGAAACACAATCATCTTCGGTTGACGCACAAAAGTGTTCGCAAAACCATTTGCTTGTTTTCATTTTTAGAGTCCGAGTCTGCTTTGTTATATTGCGTGAAAATATAAGCTAAGCTAGTACTTCCTTTGTTTGCAGCGACAGTAAAATCAATTCAACAATTTCAGAAGAGTGAAGTCTGCTGCCTGCTTAAATGGTTTGCGCAAGACCTCATTGGGGGTGGAAAAAACAACGTTATTGCTATTGGTTGCTTCTCGTTTCGCCGTAAAATTTCAACACGTACCTGAAAATTTAACGACAAACGAAAGCAATTGTCGTCTCTTTCTGACTCATTTAAATTTCCATTAGTATGGGGTGCGAATGAAACGAAGCCAACATCGTGAAACGAAGATAGAAGCTGAGTTTAAAACGAGCTGCTATGACCATAGGGAGAGCTTGGTTTCGGGACAGCCCTCTTTATTTCTGAAGCTGGTATTGGCCAGCTGAAGTAAAATGAATAAGCAATATTTCATGTTTGTTTTATTCAACTAAGTATGTAGCCAGTACCAAACACAACACAAAGTCATCGTTAATAGGAAAAACTTATTCGAGGGCTATCCAGAAGCCATCTGAGGAGTACTCGTCAGTACTGTTCAGACCTCTTATTTCATTTGACGGAATCGTGTCGAGTGGATATTCATAATAAATTCACTGACGTGGGCTTCTATGTGTTGAATTTACATACATACTTATATTGTGCTTAAGAAACAAAAATCAGATGTTAGATATTCTAAGTGATTTGAAAATAAATATTTCATCTTTAAATCAATCGACCTCAAATAACAAACATTTTATTGATATGTTTTAAAACTCAAAATATTTGCATGTAGTCAAGTAATCAAAATTAAGTGAGTGCAATTTAATATTATTATATATTTAAAATGTGGTGTTTTTAACACTAAGCTGGTAACATGTCTTCCAATTATTTTATTTTAGTTTATTTTAGGAAACCAATATTCTGCATTAATAATCTTACTGCATTTATTTAAGTGGTATACATACAAAAGTCATCGTCATCCATTACGAGAAAATAGCCAGTCTAAATGTTGAGAAACTAAAACTAAATTGAGAAATTGTTGTTGTTTACAATATTGGGAAAACAATGAAATTATTTTATAAAGTTTAAAATTTATATACCCTTGCAGTTATTACAAAACGACTACATTTCGATTTGTTGTCCGATTTTGACAAAACTAAACGCGTAATTCTGATATAGTAAATAATTACTATATCTCAAAGGAATATTTAAATAAATAAAAAAAACAGCAAAATAAATAAAAAATTTTTTTTTTAATTTTTAGATTTTCCTATGGAAGCTATATGATGTAGATTTCGGATTTTAATTTAATTAAAACCGTACTTTCATAGTATTCAAATACTACCAAATCCCAAAGAGAAAACAAATTAAAAACAACAAACTTATACTTTTTCCGACTTATGTACCACCTGCAATAGAAAGACAACTTTTGGGAAAGTTTTAAGCAAATAAGCTATCTGAGCTAACTGATGGACTAGTTTGACGGACGGAGGCACATACAGACGGACATTGCTATATCGTCTCCCCTGGTGATGATGATCAAGAATATATATACTTTATAGGGTCGGACATGTCTCCTTCACTGAGTTGCAAACTTTAATAAAGGGTAATAACATAATTTGAACAGACGGGCATGGCTAGATCGATTCTCCTGGGAGATGCTGATCAAGAATATATATACTTTATAGGGTCGAAAATGTCCCCTTCATAGTATGATGAAAACCCCTTTTTTTTGCTGTATTTCTTTTTTTCAAAATATTCCTTCGAGATATAGTAATTATTTACTTTTAGTTTTGTCAAAATCGGACAACAACATCATTTAGCTGCCATACAATCGATGGCAAAATGCACCGCTAAATCGACAAAGCTTCATTGTTTTTAGTAATATAGGCATATAAATAGAAATGTAGTCGTTTTGTAAGGGTATATAAAGTTCGGTTTGCCGAAGTTTGCTTTCTTTCTGGTTTTTATCCTAAAATCTTTTTAAAATACTAAAAAATAATATAAAGCTCCCATAGAAACAATGGGAAAAACAATTACAAATTTTTTTTTTTGTTCTTTGTGATTTGGTAATATTTAAATATTATGAAATTACGGTTTTAATATATATCATAAAGCTGCCATAGAAATTATAGCAAAATGCAGCGCAAAATCGACATAGCTTCATTGTTTTTAGTAATATTGGCATATTAATCGAAATGTAGTCGTTTTGTTATAACTGCAAGGGTATATAAATTTCGGCATGCCGAAGTTTTCTTCCTTACTTGTTTAGTATTATTTAGGTTACTTGTCATGTATACGAAAAACGATCAATCTATTCTTTCTAATGATATTTAAAATAAGAATTACCCAACATATACAAAAGTATTTCAAAACAACATTGAATCTGTTTGGTGGACAGCTTATAAAAATTGCATTGGATAATATTCCATACATTCAAAGATGTTGTAGGAAGAACTAGTTTTGAGGTATAAATTTAGTTTTACCTATACAAAAAAATAAGTTTTCAAGTCTTGAAACAAACTGTATTTTCTCATATATTTCTATGGCTTTCAAGGTTAATGCAACATCTTTAAAGTCTTAATTTAAAGTATGGCACAATGTTATTAATATTCATACAGGCAGACTCGGCTGTTTATATATTATATATGTTTATTTCCATTAACTTAATCATACGTTTTATGTCCAAAAAGTATTTTTAAGTATTTAGTATCAAAAGTCGGTAAAATTGAAAGATTTGATTTTCAAAGAATGCATGTTTTTTTGATTGGATTAAATACCCGGTATATTTATGTTGTGTTCCACACATTTGTCCGAAGATTGTAATGTATATCCAGTTTTGCTAAGTTAACTAATAGAACTATTTTATTTTAAATTCGATGGGCAGTTAGTAGAGCACAATAATTATGGTTGTCAAATGTTTTTGGCCCTTTCACCCTAAGAAAATTTGACAGTCGTTGGCAACGATGAATATTTTAAAATTTTATAAAATACGAACAATTGAAAACAGTATTTTTACGTGTTGTTAAAAGATAGCATCATTAATATGGTAAAAAAAATATGATGTTTTAGAAATAGTCTGGACAAAAATATCAGTATTCAGAAAATTTCGGCATATCAATAATATACCTTTTTCAAGTTTCGCTTTAAATTCGAAGTTAATCTAAGACGCGATTTTATGCCAACACAAAGACTCCACTTAATCTATTTTTACTAGACAGACTATTTGGTTCCATCCCCCATTCTCGATATTAAATTTTGACGATTTTCAATGGGCTGGTAAATGCACATATATTATTTTTTAGGCTTGTAACTTTGCATCCATTTATTTGAAGTCTTAAAAAATATCTTTTTTTCTGTTTTTTGTTATTTAACAAAAGCTCTTCTTTTCGGCGGCGGATGTGATTTCCGCTCACTGGAACATATGAAACCAAAAATTCCAATGGGATTAGGAAGAGTACATGTTTGGCTCTGGCATGAACTAGTATTATTAATTTCGCACAAAAAGTAACAAAAATCTCTTTTTTTCAGATACAAATTAAGTTGAAAAGTAAAAAAGATCTTCCCCGATTTGATTTATCCTAGTTAATGCCATATATATATAGAAAAACGTATTGAAATTTGGAATTGATTAGATTAATAGTTTTTAAGAAACCTCATGCGCCAGTCGAAAAACTAATGTTTCGAGAAAAACGTGTTTAAAGTTTTGAGAAACTCTCCCCATCGCCTGACGGTTCCACCATAAATCGTCTGTCTTCAAAAGTTTTTGAAATTTTGTCTTGAAATTTTAAAGGAACATTCTTGTTATTATAGTTATAGGTTCGAATTAAATAAAAAAAATCGATTTTTTGAAACCGAGAAGGGGGGGTCCCCTTAATTAGCCCTAACGAATCTATAACCACCAATACCAAGCTAGACAAAATTCAAATCTTTAATTTTTCTAATAAGTACAAAAAAAGGTTTTATTAAGCGTCTTCTTTGCTTGGGGCTTGATTTTAACCTAATTAATAAATTATCTTGTTGCTGAACGAAGTATTTTTCAAAAATTTTATTTAACATAAAAATGGCGAAAGAAATTTACTTCATTCAAAGAATTCACTTCCGACGTACACAATTTTTACGGTTTTAAAAAATAGCAAGGACTATAAAATGTATCAAAAAATTTACATGGCCTTATTGTTTACGAACATTTCATTTTCATTCATTATTAACAGCTGCGAGGAATATAAATGTAATTTTGCCGAAAATGGTTTTCATTCTTGGGATTATAATCCTTTCCTTTCTTTCTTTTTTTTTATCTTTGCAGCGGGTTTATTTAATTTTGATGTTTCCAACGCAGAGAAGGAGATATTGCAGACCTTATATAGTATCTATAGTCCGATTCGGTGCAATTAACTCTATCACCTTAAAAGCTGTGGACATTAAACTTTCGTAATCGTCCTATTGTATGCGCCGGCAAATCAAGTTTAAATTATGAAGAGATGTGATCTTTTAAATATCGCATATAAGAGGACTATATTAGTTATCACCGTGGTACAGCTCATTTATATATTGTTTATGATATACTGTACTATTCTACAAAATATTTTGTTTAATATATTCTTTGTTTAATGACCAGAAGCATACTGACAATAAAGTGTCCATTTGATGTCCTTAGGATAACCTGGAACATTGAAATTTAGTTGAAAACGCCTCTACGTCATCCTGATTTGTATTTTATTTCAAGTTTTTGAGACCTAAACATTTAAACATACTGTAAGGACTTTTAACAATTTACTGGTCCTTTCAAAAATTAAGATTGTTTGCTGTACGCAGACTTATGAGCCCCATGTTTGGGAAGGCCTGTATTTAAATATGTATATATATAAATATAACAAGAAAGAAAAGCTAACTTCGGGCGGAGCCGAAGTTGATATACCTTGCAGAATATTCTGTAAATTTTATTCTTAAAAATTATTCATATGATAGATTCTTAATACTCATAGAAAATCCCAAGTTAGGAACTTTACAAACACCAAAGTTATGGCATTTCCGATCAATCAGTTATATGGCGGCTTTAGGATATAGTCGGCCGATCCCGGCCGTTCCGACTTATATACTGCGTGCAAAGGAAGGAAGGGTGTGTGCAAAGTTTCAATTCGATATCTTTAAAACTAAGAGACTAGTTTGCGTAGAAACAGACAGACAGACGGACAGACGGACATGCTTATATCAACTCAGGACGCGATCCTGATCAAGAATATATATACTTTATAGGGTCGGAGATGTCTCCTTCACTGCGTTGCAAACTTTTGACCAAAATTATAATAACCACTGCTAGGGTATAATAACGTAGGCTTTTTAAAGAGTAGCGCGTTTTATCGACTCAATATTTGGTCGTCAAAATCTCCCAGCAGAGTCAGTAATTCGAGGAATGCTCCATACTTTAATAGATAATGCGCGTCTTCAGAGAGTTTTTGACCTCTCTAACAATCTCCTCACCGTATTTTTGGGTTAGTCCTAAAGGAGAAACTAGAACTATTCCCACATTGACATTTTTCTCATTGTGAAGTATTGATTTCTCCATTCCCTACAAAAATCTGTTTTTCATACATTTATCGTATAGGAAAAAGGATTTTTCTAAGGATCCTTAAGAAATTAAAGGCAGTTATACTATACTCGTCAATTTATTGTATTTGACATTTTTATACCCGTTACTCGTAGAGTAAAAGGGTATATTGTATTCGTGCAAAAGTATGTAACAGCTAGAAGGAAGCGTTTCCGACCCTATAAAGTATATATATTCTTGATCAGGGTCACTAGCCGAGTCGA